TTGGAAATCGCAAAGATCACTTAACAACGTATAACTCAGCTAGTTTTCTGTACGTAAATGAATCTTAAAGTTTCTGTTTTCATCTCGTACCTTTTCTGTACGGTTCAGTTGTAGAAGTTGTCTGAAGATAAAGGATTAACTAGGAAGTCAGTATCATTTGACGTTATACCAAATATGTATCTAGTAGCCAGTCATATACATTTATCCAACTATTAGATCTTTTGAGTTCAGAAATACTTATCAAATGAAGTGATAGAAACGGTTTTTAGCTCAGTCAAATGGTTAAGATGATATCCTTTTACCATGAGATAGATGATTTTGATTTCAGAGCTGTGATTGTCATCCTGAACAATAGTATCAACGTTGGTTTCATGTATAAGTGAGATTCTTGTTTATTCCACAAGCCTTAAATTGTTTATTCTGTTGACCTTGTTTATGGAGGATTGTCTTCGTAGATTTAATTGTCTTTGATCGATTCATGAATTCGATGAAATTCATTTTCTTCATCTATCCTTGTATTCAAGTTATCTTAGTCGGTTGACCTTTGACCTTTTGGCTTAAATTAATCATTCGTTAAACTATGAAAATTCTATAATCTCCACAAACCCCAATATACTAGTAATAATAATCATCTGCTCTAAAGTGATTAATCTCAAGGTGCAATCCCAGAAGTTCTAGTTAAAGGCAGTAACCACTAGAGTATAAATGTTATTCATTGCAGGTAACGGAAGACGGCCACACAATATAGTGAATTGATTGAAGTCAGACATGTTCACAATTGGATCTCCCCAGCATATATGCGCGATATTAGAGATCGTGGGTTCGATTCTCTTTAGTGGTGGTGGTGATGGTGTTATGGGTCCTCACTACTGAGGAGTACTATGCTAGCACGAAACAGTTATTCAGTCCATCCTGGTAGTCTAGTATAGATCAGTTCATGATTTAACTATGAAAGTGTTTTAAATGTTATCTAAAATATGACGCAATTAGTTGAGTAATATACAATTGTGATTACATCTCAGTCCTACAGGAGGTCGATCACGGCTCGGATAGCTCAGTGGTAACTTGTCTGACTGTGAAGCTAGGTAACACGAGACCGAGTCCGTCAGGCAGCACCAGTTCCCTTAAGATTACAGGTACACCTTGCTGACGAGTGCCAAGTAGCATGAAACCTGAGTCCAGGGTTTCCTGTCGACTACCTTTAACCACCATCTAATCACAATATATAGTGCACGCAATGTTGAGTCACCTAGACTGGTGGCCACATTGCAACGTGATCGATAGCATTCGATCTGCACTAAGAAGGACTTGACACACATCACATTGATCACCACCGAGTGATCAATCAATTGTTATAATAAAATAAAGTAAATTAGTCACGTTTCAGCTATATTCAAATCTTCTCTTCTTAATTTATTTCTCATTTCTTATCTTTGCTTTTTAATAGCAAACTGAATTTGGTTATCTATTGGATAGGTAAGTATTGTTTACTCTCAAATTACAACGTTATTTTATAAACAATGATGGATAGTGGCTTGCAGTGGAATCTAGGACGCGCGTTTCGTCCTATTTGGAACTCGTCAGTCGGATGTACCTACATCTCAGAGTTGATGTTCACTCTGGAATCTCCATCCACCTTATTAGTTTCCTGTTAACTGAAGACGATTTTGTAGAGATTAGCTTAATTTATCAGTTGTATTCGTCATGAATTAATAAAACTGTAAATTAGAACAATCTTCATAATGATTATTCAACTAATTTAAAACATTAGCTAACTATTGATAGAATTCACGATGTTTCTGATGTTGTAGCGAGACACTATGACTATTGAATTCCAAACATTTGGTATTGTTTGCTTGTTTCTTCTCATTGTTATTTAAGACTGTAATTGATCAGTCTCTTATTGGCATGTGTGCATCCTGTACGGACTGCCTCGATATTGCCTTAAGTTACAAACATGCTAAACAGAGATAGATGGTGATTAGCAGTGGAATCCAGGATGCGTGTTTCGTCCCATTTGAGACTCGTCAGCTGGATGTATCTGTCTCCGGAACTCAAACATGAATAGGAAGACTTAGAAAATCAGTACAAAAATGAATTGAAACTTCATCCCATTGCAAAATCTAATGGCTATCAGGACTAGAATTCAGTGCCGTTTGCTTTAAACACCATCGCGTACGATACCAGGTTCGAATCCCAGAGTGAACATCAACTCTGAGATGCCTCTATCCATCATTGCTTATGACTTCCAAACAGTTAAATACATACTGTAATCTCTTAACTATGTTGTTCTGAGGTTAGACATTGCATAGGTTTTGATTTATGGATGAATTGAATGCAACAGATAATTTATCTACCTTCCATCTTAGAAGGTGGTTAGAGGTAGTCAACATGAAACCCTGGACTCGGGTTCCGTGCTACTTGGCACTCGTCAGCATGGTTTACCCGTAATCTTGAGGGAAATGGTGTTCCCTGACGGATTCGATTCCATGTCACTCAGATTCACAGTCGGAGTTTCTTGTTGACTACCTCCAATCATCATCTAAATTTCAATATAGTGTACGCAATTTCGAGTCACCTAGACTAGTGGCCACATTGCAACATGGTCAATAGCATTCAATCTGCACTAAATGAGTACTTGACACACATCACATTGATCACCACCCAGTGATCAGTCAATTGTGACCTTCCATCTTCATCTTCTGCTTAACCTTTTGGGTTAGATAGAGTTCGATGGTTAATAAGTATTAAGGTCTTAATAGTTGTTCATTTATTGAAATGTCAACTAGTAATTAGATCGTTACTGATCATTCAGGCAATATAACTGAACTCACCCAAACACAGAGAGCAGGATAGAGAGAGTCAAAGAGAGAGATAGAGAGAGATATATAAGGATAATTTAAATTAATACTAAGACATATTACATCATCATATCGTTGTTGTTTTTTTATTTGTATATTTTAGACAAGCGAAAAAATCAAATGCTGAAATCTCAGAATTACGTGGTATCATCAAGATTAAAGAAGAAGCTATTCATCTGTTAGAAGTAAGTAGTTCGTATTAATCAATTGATCACTGAATAGTTCTGGTGATTGTGATGTTTGTTTAGTGTTTTTAGTGATGAATGAATGATGTCAATCAATTTGTAAATAGGTTAAGTGTAATCGACGAGATTCTTCACTGGAACTAAGTTTCGTACTATTTAGTGTGCATCAATAAGATATAAATATAAGTCCTGTATCAGATAAGTCTAAGCTCAAATAGCTCAATTGTCTTGGAGTGTGAAGTATAGTAAAGCTTGCTCAGAGTTCACAGAAAACACCGAGTTATTTATGATTGATGATAAATCATGGTGACGAATGGTAATAAGCCAAAAACCTTGTGTATGTAGAACATTTTCTTCTTCATGGACGGAGTTATAAAAGCAGTTCCCCTGAAGTTAGTCTTTGTTGTCCAACCTGCATCTCATGTGTCTCACTGATTCCAAGAACGTCCAGGTTGTACGAGCATTCCATATACCTAAATTAATGGTTGCTCTGGTTGTCAGAAAGGGCACCAGCCTCGGCCGTCTATTGTTTCCAGGTTTTCCATGATGGTCTAACTTCAATCGACTTACGATCTGAACCAATGAATTATGATTTACTTGATATTATAAACTAAAAAAATTGATCACAGTTAACCATTTGATATGACTTTTAGATTGTTATTACTGGGCAGGGAAGCTATTTGATGGTGTTAACAGATTGCTTGAAAATATTCATAATACTTTATATCTCAGTATTTTTTTAAACTATGATATACACTTGATTGATAATAATAAGTAGTACTGAGAGATTGAAATAAGGAAAAATACAGTTATCCGATCGAATGGATACAAAACTTCCTTACAGTTTACTGATGTCTGCTACCCCATTATAGAGTATAGGACGCGGAGCAGGAGTCATCAATTAACTCTGTCCGGAGCTTTTCTTTCCAGTTGTTTTGATATCTGCTTTCAACTCCCAATCCCATGTATACTTTGGTCTGCCTGTTTTTCTTTTACCCTTAAAATTTCAGATTAGGGTTTGCCTCGTGGTGAAGTTGGATGGTTTCTATGATGTGTGTTCTATCTACCTTTAGCATCTTTTTCTATATTCCCTCTCCAGTTGAGAGCTTGTTTGTTATTCCATTTGTAAATTCAACTTTGATAGAAGGATTTTAAGCTTAGTTCTGATAGTATAGATCTAATACTTTATTAAGGAAATGTTTACTGAGATCTCATTCTGTCCACATTATTTTAGTTTGTAGTGTCGGTTATTATGTTAAGCCCATATATCTTATTATTCTAGCTGTCGTACAGCCAATTCTATTCATTCTACTTGAGTCACATTCTGACCTTGTTATTTATTCGCCTATCAATCTTGATTGTTTACATATGAGCGCGTTGGTGTGTGTACATTTCTTATCCCATTACTCATCACATATCTGTAACGTACTTTTGTGTAACTATAAATATTGATTAACGTTTGGTTAAACGGGAGTTGGCTTACCCGCCATCTCCATTGCTCGTCGTTTCTCTTCTCTCTATTCCATTCACTTTATATACAAAATATATGTATTCAAAAGTCCATTCTCGTTATTTGACTTATCTGAATCCGTTATTGACTAACGTGATTTAAGTCGATAATTGCATATGGGGATCAGCGACATATATGTTTCGACAACAATCATCATTACGATCATCAGATCCACGGGCCACTAAAGTGGAAAGCGTTTTCGACAACATCGTTCGATCTAAATGACGATTAATTAACGGGCCTCCACAAGTTATTCATGTATTTACTAGTGGACTAGCTTTGAGAGAAGCTTTTCACAGCGTTAGTAAGAAACCATAATTGTTTGAGTTCAAATGTGTCAAGCAAGAACAAGGTGTCTACCGACAACAAAAGATGATTGCATGATTTCATTCATTAATTGAAGTTGAACATGTTAATCACTGGATACCATTTCCATTATTTGGAGGTTAAGAATCCATCTGAGAGAATGAAACTCTACTGTATTCTTCTATCTGTACTTGATACAACATACTTAATGTATTAGTAAGTATTAGTAATCTCTGGTTATTGATACTCAGAACTGGGAATGACTAGTCTTTATGATACCATATTTACTTCTTGAACAGACTTGACTTTATTTAAGTCTCAGTGTGGTAAACTTCAGGTAAATTGAAGCTGATGATGAGTTCCAGGTAGGACGAAACATACATTCTAGATTCCACCGCTATCCATATATCATCAAATATGTTTGTTTATTGTTGTTGTAAGCAGTCAAAGTATCATCGTCATTTCTCTTCTATTCTATTTGTCTTGTAAAATTTTCTTTATATCAAGGAGGAGAATTCACGTTTAAGTGATTCATTGAAAACATTTTTATACAATATGAATAAACCAGGAAATTTAGATAAAACTACCATGTCCACCAAAAATTATTCCATTAAATCTCATGAATATCAAGATTTATTAGACAATAATAATAAACAAAGACTTTCAAATAATCCTGTGAATACGTCACGTCCTCATCCTCCTCATCATCAAGGACAACAACAACAAGTTGAACATCAGCATGATTATACGCCTCAACATCATCATTATCATCATTCACCTCAATCTCGTCAACGTGATCATCATCATAGTAACTATAATCCATCAAAACATACATTCAATCAAACATACAGTCATTTAAATTCTTCAAATACTTCTACCCCAATTAATACACCAATGATAATATCACCATCACATTTATCTATGATCAAACCAGATAACTATGATCGAACAATATCACCTCGTTCAATGAGTCCATATAAATTAGATCATTCTAAAAATCAATTAATATCACCATCATCATTATCATTATCACCAACAAATTCAGATAGAATAAAAAATATTAAACGTCAATTATCACCAACTGGTAAACGTTTCCCATATTATCAACCATATATTCATTCATTAATGCATTCAAATGAATTAAATAAAGTTGATAAACATAAATGTTTTAATGAATCAGTAAGTTTATTCATTGTATTATCAATGAATTGATTTCATTTTATTGATTAGAATAAGCACAGTAAATACTAATGACACCGTCTCGCAAGCAAGCAAAATATTCATCCTTTGGAGACCATTTGAAGGCCAGATGGAAATCGATTGAAACGGAGAACTCTCGACGACTAACACAGCGCTTCACATCCCACACAATTGCGTCTGCACGTTCATCGGTGGGAAAGTTGGGGCTTGGATCGTATGAATGTTTGTTATCGCCTATTCTCACATATAATCATCGACTTTAATCGCGTTAGTCAATAACGGATTCAGATAAGTCGAATAACTAGAATGGACTTTTGAATACATATATTTTTTATATAAAGTGAATGGAATAGAGAGAAGAGAAACGACGCAGAGTGAACATGGCTGGTAAGCCAGAATAAGGTATATGGGCTTAACATAATAACCGACACTGCAAGCTTAAACTATAGACTACTAGTTTGAAATCTATGCTGAGTCTGTGAATATACGTTTCTGAAGAGTACCATTGAATTCACACATACGCAATTATAAATATATATGCTGCCAGAGATTTCCAGAATAATCAGACTTTATCTAGATTCTTTACAATACGAATAATACAGCTCGATCCTGTAGCGCAGAATCTTAATAGGTCAGAAGAATCTCATATTATAATACAATGTATGTTTAGTATTCTCTGATCTTCACAGATTGTCTAACTTAGATCAATCCATTATGTAAACCATGGAATTTACTAGTTAATTAACTGTCACTCATTTTTTCCACGAACTGTTTCTTTGATTAGAACAAGTTAAATTGAATTCATTCAAGCTGGAGTAAGAGGTGTCGTTTATATTTTCAAATGATACATAATCAATAATGATCAGTGATCTAATAAATCAATACTGTATAATGAATAATGTTTTAAGAACAAAGAAAGACTCAACCCTTCTTTGTATTTTTTCATTGATGTTGAGGATTAAAATGATGTTGCGTTGTGTAATATTCAATTCTAATATTCTTATATTATTATTATTATTATTATTATTATTATTATTATTTGAACACATAGATATTGGTACAAGGAAGCACCAAATACATATGCGCCACACAAATCTCATTCGATATGTGTGAGGGCTGTGATACTGTCCGGGTGCCCAGATCGAAGCAAGTGGTTTGATTAGGGGGCCACTCCCCGAGCCTTCGACCTGAAGCTCTGATCCACAAGGCAGTGGAGCATCGTAAGGAGATGCAGTCCCATGGAAGCCGGTGACTAACAATTGGTTCATACGCCATTTGTTCCTGCAGGATACTGGAGCCCATGTGCACCATTGATTCGGTTTGGAATCCGGTTAAAGCGCCGGACATTCGCTTTTCGTCCTCTTATTTTCGTAAATAACACCCCCGCCACGAGAAAACAGTGAGTAGGACTTCCCTGGCAGAGGCTTTATACGCATGGCCAATGTGAGAGTATTTCGAGAGGGAGAGCGGACTCTCCGCGCTCTCGGCCGTACCAGGGCATTTGGGGGCTTTCTTATATAAGCTTCCTTTACATGAAAATATCTGGTTACATGAGTGAGAAGACCAACATAAAAATGGAGAAATAGGTTTGCATTCACATTAATGTATATGTGTATATTTGTTAGTCGTTTGGAAATTTAAGCTACATTTTTTCTATCAGTGGCATAAGTATCGTTCCTTAGAAAGGAAGACCATATCTTGGTCAATCATATGAGCGTAACATTTAACTAATCTCTAATTGCTTAACTATATCAAAATGATCAGTCTTTTTTGGAATATGATCATCCTGGAAAAATTACCTTGATAAAGTTAGGTAGTAACCATCAATGATAGACAGGACATACGTTTTGTCCTATTTGGTATTCTTCAGTCTAACGTATGTAAATTGTATTTTAATTATCAGTATAGGGTTGTGGAGATTATTAAGTTTTTGATTGAGATCATGAACCGATTGATGTTAGACCACCATTGAAATCCTGAAGGCATTGGATAGCTGTTTCGTCCTAGTATAGGACTCATCAAGCAGTCCACATCCACAACCCTACTCGCGGGATTCGAATCCAGGGCCTTCTGTCTCGCGTGCGAGTGCTTAACCTCTAAACCACTGAGCCGGCATCTAAACAGTGTTGATGTCAACTAATCCACGGAATTTGCGCGACCATCTTCCATTATACTAAGGCAGATACCTGCCTTTACTAGAAACAGATTAGCTCCACTGGTCACAGCTTCTCACTAGAAATCGTGAATGAGCACTGCTGAGGAGTCCTACGATAGGGTGAAATGGCCATACAGTGCTTCCAGATTTTCCGTGGTGGTCAAGCCTGAACAGACGCATGATCTTAACCATAGAAACTACTATAATATTCACAAAACCCATCTGATATTAATCATATATGGCGATTTGGGTTAGCATATATATCTATGCTTATTCAAAGATTCAATGATTAAGTGAGCATAGTAACAAAATAATAGAAATAAAATGTAGTATTCTTATTGAAAACTAAAAATAATGACTGTCGAAAGAATGTCATAAGTCAATAAGTCAACTACAATGTCGAACCAAGCAGACATAAATGCATCGGTCCAAGTTGCCATACCTCATTAACACGAACAAGATGAACAAAAAAATCATAGAAGTAGTTACTTCAATTGTAGTAATATATAAAAGGAAGATTGCATATAAGGATATAGTACAGGAAGAAAGAATTGGTTCGTAGAAAGAAAGATATGAAGCGATTTTAATCTCATAGTTTAAGGAAAGACAGAGATTGTATACACCTACGCCATTGTGATCAGTGCTGGGCCATGTCACTAAGAGAGACGTAACGGCTGTCCAGTGCTTCCAGGTTCTCCATGGTGGTCTAGCTTCAATTGACTCATGATCTCAACTATTGAAAATAATGATAATAACTCATGGTTATTCTATGATAAGTCTTCTTCTTGAACCCATATTACCAACTTACTAGCTTCTCCCTATAACTTCAGATTACTTAACGCTTAAAGTGGAACGGTAGAAAACAAAGGTGTAAGATATAGGTAAATGTTTAACTAAAAGCTTAGTTCATCTACAATAACACAAAATTATCTTCTATGTGTGGTATGACTTGAAACTTGGGTCGATTTTTACCCCGTGCCAATTGTTGCGTCCTTGACTGAAAAGATTAGAGAGCAGTGTATTATAGATCGAATCAGTGACACGGAAAACACGTAGTGAACGACCTGGTGTCCTGATTGCTCCCGCTTCCCTGTCTAGCCCAGCCAGTTGCATCCAGAACACAAGTCACAACCTCTGAGATATGAATCGTTATATTTCAGACATACTCTGTTTATATACCAACCAAACAGACCACATCGTACCATAAAGATAGAAAACAACATCTGTACAATATTTAACGAGTGAAATAAATAATGGCCAATAGGGAATGTCCATTTAACGTCCAAGGACATCATTAGACGTAACATCATAATGATTGGTATATTCCTCTGCATCCCTAACAATGTGTATTTGGTAATCATTTTGGAATTTGAAAATATAGTCAATAATCGTTCAGAATTTGACATATAATCTATCACTATTACAAAAGTCTTCAAGGTGTAGGCATATCAAGTGAAACATTGACAGCTTATTTTATAATATTGTAAAGATCTTATTGTTATGACTTGATGTCCGGCTTTTTTTATCACGTGATTTATCCACCAATCAAAATACGACTTATACAATCGTGGCACTGTGCCAAATCGATGACATTCGACCGATATGGGCAGTCTAGCGTCCTTATTTGGTCCTATGTCCGCCTAACCCGTCCACTTGAAGTTCAGAACACCAAATACCAGCTTCCAATATGCAAATCGAATCATTTATTTCAGACCTACTGGTTTTATGTATCAACCAAACAGACCGCAACGCATCATAAAATAGGAAATAACATTCATACACAATAAAGCCAAAAAGTGGCTGTGAACGTGGGAGACAGTAATCAATAAACTGAAAATAGCTTAAGAATAGTAAATCGTACAATAATAAAATATAGGTCAAAATGAAGCTTATAATAAGAGGAATATAAATATACATAATCTAACTAATGAATAGTTATACCATAAGAATATATAGATGATATTAGTCCATTAAAAGGTCTCAGAAGTTACTCGTCATGTATCCTTCAGTAGGATGTAACACTTATAATGTAAATAACATAGAATATCTATATTCCGTATTCATGCTTCATTCAATTACAATTACATTTCATTCATTCTAATGATTATAAACTGTTAATATTTAAAATTAACAGTATTTGGTCCAAATCTTAGAGTATACATCATCTATGAAATGAAGTTATATCCAACTGACGAGTCTTAACTAAGACGAAACACATATTCTTGATCTTTATTTATAATGAATCCTTTTAAATTATATTTTATGTTTTTTTGTTTTGTTTTAGAAAACTTTATCACATGGTCTAACAACAGCACAAGCTCAATTAATCAAAAGTCCAACTCAACGATTATTAATGCAAGTAAGTTGAAGCAAACAACAACAACAACAAGGAGGGTATAGATAGTTGACATTAGTAAGATAACGATTAAAACTTAGATAGAATTGAATAATCATTTTGTTCTCAAATGTAACTCTTTAGGTAGTGATTAGTTATAACTGAACTAATGACTGAACAATGAAATTCAAATAAGAAGTCATAATCACTAAGATCTTAATCATGTTAGATATGAGATAAATATCATTAAGGGAAATAGATGATGATGGAGAATGTTGGTGAGTGGCCTATACTCCTTCATGAGGAGTAACCGGCGTAAGTAAGTAAGTAAGTAAGTAAGTATATCAATGAATTATAGATCAATCAACTGAATATTTAATGATAACCACGAGATTTGTACATCCTGTGAAGATAAATGAAATAAAAGAAACAAATTTTAATCAACATTAAATTCTATCACTTACTTAAATTTCGTTGTAGTTGAGAATTTCATCTGTATGGGTCGATTTCCTATACACTTGAGTTTCCAGTTTTCTTGTGTCGGTTCTAGTGATTAATATATCCAAGAATGATAGCTTGTTGTTTGACTCCTGTTCCATTGTGAACTTGATGTCATCGAAGATGTTATTGATCAGCCTGTAAGTGTTTTCCAGCTCATTCTTTTTAATGATGACGAATGTGTCGTCTACATAGCGAATCCATAATTTTGGCTTGATCACTGGTAATATCGTGGTTTCTAGTCTTTGCATCACTGCTACTGCGATCAATCCTGATATTGGTGATCCTATTGGTATCCCTTTCGTTTGTTCGTAGATTTTGTTGTTGAATTGGAAATATGTTGTTAAGCATAAATCGATGAGTTCTAGTAGACTTTGAATTTGAAGCTTCGTGTACTTAGTGAGATATGTGTGGTTGGTGAGGGGCTGGGATATGGTTTCTTTTGCTAACCTTGATTCAATTGAGGTGAATAACGCTGTTACATCAAAGGATACGAACAAGTCATACAACTATTTCGTCCTATGTTTAAGGTTCTTTAGCTATGTACGTATACATATTCACAAACAACCAGCATCAGAATATTTTTATCCAGTTGGCGATCTTTTAAACTTTATACTGATGAATTAACATCCAAAGTACGACATTCCTAACTTCATTAAATTTTGAATATTCTAAGAGTAATATTGATTCTCATTATCAATATTTGTCTTACATAACTGACATGCTAGAGTTTCGCAACAGAAATCTTATCATGATCCTTGTTGAAGTTAGGCATACTGATCGTTGTCATGTTCAACAATAGTACAAAAGAGATGTCCAATGCTCCCTAATTTTTTATTGATTATCTGGGTTAAGTGAGTTGGGATGTGATATAAACTATAAATATCTAATAATCTTCAAAGACCCACTCATTCAATTGATTATGAATTTGCTTAACTTTATTGATCGATGTAATTAGTCCTACAAGTATAATTGAATTGATAAATAAATATAGATGTGATGAGTTTAGATAGGATGTTTTTATTTCTGAATATGGAGGATCCACCTAGGGCAGTTGGAAAACCCTGATTCCAAACCAGTTGTGCACATAGGCTTCAAGTCAAAGGCTCCAGGTATGTCCCCCCTAAGAAAACCACTTCTTTGGGTTCGGACACCCGGCAGTATCTCAGCCCTCGTTTTACCAATGTTTGCGTTTAAATAAATAAAATAAATTTTTGATTATAATAATCTTATGATTATGTAACAACATGTTGAACGAATGTACAATCAATAATTTTAGGACAAAGTGTCTCTTAACGACAATGATGGAAAGGGTTAAGGATAGTAGATAATCAGCGAAATCTATATGCTTAACTTGGAACTATTCTAATCCATATAATCCAACATCTCTAACAATTGGTTGTGGTTATCAGGTGAACCATAACCAGTTCAATAGTTAGTGAGTTTATAGACTGATAGTATGCCTCTTATTGGTCACCCCTAGCTCCCCTCCAGTTTATCACTATCCCAGGAAATATCACATGTTGAGTTAAACAGTAATTACACATAAGTAATACATATCCCAGTCACCGCATTCTCTAAATAAGTACTCTTTCATCAACTGATTTGTTTTGCCGTTGAATTGTCCAAATATATCCGATCACTACTTTGAAGATATCTATAACCAATTACTAGTAACATGACCTATTAAACTACCTCAAAGAGTGAGATTATAACATTAAATTATCCCTTTAAGATGAATGTAA